AGGACCAGTGGAAGCAATGCGAAGAGCATTACAAAGTCAATTTGTTATACCAGGACATGATGCGTAAGCGTCAAGAGATCGATCGCCTAGCACGAGGCGGTAAGTTCAAATACGAATACGACTCCGATGAGGACATCGAGGGTGGCACCTGGGAGCATAAGTTGCGTACAGCTGAAATGGAAGCCACTCACTTGTGGGCCAATGCACTTACCAAACAAAGCGAGGGCAAGCATCACATTGGTGATTTCCTRCCTCCCGAGGAACTAAAGAAGTTCATGGAGCAGTACGAAGCAAAGAAAAGTAACAGACAGCCGGATTTAAGTGACTACAAGGAGTACAAATTAAAGGAAGATAACATTGGATTTCAAATGCTGCAAAAGCTCGGCTGGAAAGAGGGTCAAGGCCTGGGCCAAGACGGTGCCGGCATTGTAGATCCAGTTAACAAGTACGATATTTTCAAATCCTTTATCCTGTTATTGGCTAAACTAGGTACTTTCAGGGCGCCACAACGTGACGGCAACCAGGGTCTGGGCGTTGGAAGTGTTGCACAGCCTGAAGATTGCGACAACGAGTATGATGCATACCGAAAGCGAATGATGTTGGCATACCGTTTCCGCCCGAATCCTTTGGTAAATTGAAAAGTGCACAGTGATCCAAATATCCGCTCTAATGAACTATTCTCTTTCAGAATAATCCACGTCGTGCCTATTACTAGCGACTACGCATATAAGCAATATCTGATGCTTTATATTGATTAAGATTCACTCTCTGAGCCCATTTATATTCGATCACATATAAAGAGCGATTATAAAGTTAATATTTATTAAGTAGTATGTTACTGCTGACCACAATGAATATTTGCTGAAGTTCTTCTTCTGGATTAGATGCCACAATTTGTAGTTGTGTTTATTGTTACGCATTATATTTATATAATATACATAAACAGTATAGTTCGTAATCAACTTATAAGCTATGGATGCTATAATAATGTGTGCTTTAGGGACTATCAAGTTGTTTAAGGTTTTTGGGAGGTTTGTAGCAGTTGCTTCGTTTTATATATAGGTATATATTCTGTAGTTGGCTACGCGGAACTTGAACGCCTAAACGCTAATAATACTAAATTGTACTCGAACTGGAAACGTTGACTTAACCTTAAGAGTAGAGCGTTAGCACCGGCGTCTGGTTGCCACGCGCCAATACCACTGGGCATTTGATATCTGACGTCAGCATTTCTAGCCACGACATATAGAGTGGTGCTGAGATCGCCTCCTGCAATAGATGTATTGATATTTATATAGAGTATAATATTGAATTGCAACAGAGTCTGGATTTGGGTACTCACCTTGCGCGGCATTGGCAGGGACATGACCACCAGTGAAGCGTTCGATGAGTGCTTCACGACTAACTCATGGATGCGCAGCTGTCGCTGCGTCTTTTCAGCCATGCTGTGTACCTCCTCGTCCGTGATGCCGAATTCGTTGCGGGGGCTGCGACGGAAGGGTTCGATGAGTCGTTTGTGCTTGAGCATTGTGTCATGACGCGGCTGATCCTGAACGCCCTTGAGCATGACAAGCTCTGAGTATTTAATACGGAATTTGGTCAGCAAACTGGCCATGCTGCAATTTAATAATGTAATTAGTTAAATTTCCAGTTAGATGTGGACCTGCGAATCGTACCTCTTCTCCTCCTGCTCCTCGTCCTTGCCGTGACACATGGTAAACACGCGCAACTTGCAGTTCTGCCAATGCGAACGCATCGAGATGATGTAGGGCAGCAAAATCGTTAGACCTGGCAATAAGGAAACGCATCCATCAAAATCTAATTTACCCCATTGTGTGTCATGTGGACTCACCGCCGTCGTCGTACAGCCAGAAGACATCGATGGTGCCCTTGGGCTGCTTTCGTGTAAATATGTTCATGGCGTCCAGCACAGTCTGGGGCACCTCGGAGCCACCTTTGGTGTGGTAGGTAATGGACGCGGCATCTGAATTGTTGATTTTGTAGCTGCGGGAGCCGCGCTGCATATTGGGCAAGGGCGGTTCTTGTGGCATGGTGTACGAGTTTTGTGGACTGGCGCTATCCATGTTGGCCAGATTCAAGTTCGAATCTATGTGTAGCAGCTCCGAGGCTGCGTTCGCGGCGGTCAACAATTCGTTGGCAAAGCCTTGTCCATTGGCTGTATTCAAGTGGCCCATGCCATTGTCGGGCATTACYACTTTCGGKGTTAGCTCCGAGAAGTCCAGGCCATTCGGCAGTCGAAGCACTGCCACGCCCATGCGCTGCGAAAAGGCGTTGCTGCAGGTGATAAAACGATTCGCATGAGCAACCGCAATGTGGGAGATGTTTTTTGGTTACTCACTGCAATATGGCAAAGTAGCTTTCCACCTCCTCCTTGCGGCAGTGATTCCAGTCCGGCTTATAGCCCACCAGCACAATGTTTGGCGCCATTTTTCCAAAGCCTGTCGACTTGATCATGGCATTGATGCCGTCCTCGATGCTGAAGCCGTCGATCACATTGTAAAACGCTTTGATTTTGCGCGCGTCCAAATACTTTTGTCCGTCCTTGACCAGAGTCTGGCGATTCTTGTAGCCCACACGCACCTGCATAGCAAAGAATATATCGATTAGCTATCCATTTGCTTATATATATTACAAAGTATGCATTTACCGGTATAATGTTGCCCACGAACATAAGCGAGTTGTTCTTGGTCAGCAGAAAGCCAAAGTCGACGAGTGGCGGACGAGACTTTGGATCTCCAGAAAGGACTAGCACTTGGGGATGATAGTTCTTCACGTGGTCGGATACATTTTGCAGACGATGCACGGCCATTAGAGCAGCCTTGTACTGTTGGGCCTGAGTGGTGGATCCCCAATTGGCATCCGGTTTGCGATACATGACCACCAAATACAGGGCAAAGATAATGCCAAAGGTTATAATGGCGGCCACATAATTGATGAGGAACATTATCACCACACACATCGCAAACCCGAATAAGCTAAGCCATGCGTTGTAGTACTTAAAAGTGGGACGCCAACCCAGGGGCTTGACGAAGGCCGCGTGGAACGTGCAGAAGTTGATGAGCGCGTAGGAGGCCAGGTAGAAGGTGGAAATGAGCGGGGCGATCAGATTTAGCTCGCCAATCAGCAGAAAGCCCGTGGAGATGAAGAAGGTCAGCACATAGCCGCGATAGGGCTCTCCATGTTTGCCGTAGGGCTTTGAGAAGAAAATCAATCCCGGATAGATCTGATCGATGCCCAAAGCCTGGACCAGACGCGGCACCGACAGCAGATTCGTCAGAGCCGTGCTCAGCGTTGCCGCAAAGCAGCCAGCATAGATGAGMGGCCCCCASAGCGACATCTCCTGCATCATCTCATAGGAGTTGAAGAGGCCCCAGCTGCAGTTGCCGGACAGCATGCAGGGCAGTTCCGATGGCACAATCGTGCCGTTCACCAAGTCCTCGGGAAAGCCGGAGGCATCGCGAACTGCAGCACCGCCAGCGAAYAAGGCAAACAGTACATAGGAGGTCATCGAAACGAGTAGGGCCCAGAAGGTGCCCTTTGGTATGGCTGCACCGGCATCTTTTAGGTCGCCACAGATGTTGGCTCCCGCCTGAATGCCAGTTACGCTCGGAAAGAAGATGGCAAAGACGCTGAAGAAGTCGTGGTTGACGCCTTCTGCATAGCGATAATCGGAGCCAAAGTTCTCTTTGAATGTGGACCCTATTGAGGCAGAACGTTAGAAACAAATTCTTAAATACTTTATCCAAGCTAAACGTACAAGAAAATCCCACAAATCCCCTTGATATTTGCTTCTCATCACCACGGGGTCCGATCGCAGAGCCAATCAGAAAATTGATTATGGCCAGGATAATGGTGAAGATGAGGAAATTCTGCGCCTTGGTCTCCCATTCCATGCCAACGCAACAGATCAAGATCAATACTAGTATCGTAACTGAGCCCACAATGCGGATGTCATTGATGCCATTGTCGACGATAATTAAGCCGTTGCTCTCTGCAAGATTCAATGGCAGTTTAGTCCGATTGCTTGGTGAGCTTCCTCAGGGATACTTACGCAGCAGCAGATTTAGCGATTCACAGAAACCGATTGTATTCATCGAAGCTGAAACCGCGTTGGCGAAGGCAAAAACAACTCCGACGGAGGCGCCAAATTCGGGGCCGAGCGAGCGGGATATGATGAAGTAGACGCCACCGCCCTTCACCTCCCCGTTGGTACTAATGGCCGACAAGGAGAGGGTGGTTATAACGCAGACAATCGACGAAACGGCAATAATAATTAACGTCCACAAAATGCCGGCCTCGGCGACCACCCAACTGAGACGCAAGAAGAGCATGACGCCCCAAATGTTGAGTAGACACGGTATGAGTACGCCGACAATCCATCCCAGCTTGATATGACCACCAGTTGGTTCCGGTTCCGCCGCATCTGGTATGTTAATGGTCTATAGACGATGGAATAGATAAAGA